TGTTGTGAGCAACTATGTTATGAACACATTTTACCAAATATCATGACATGTATTTAAATACGAGATTCGGATCCACCTTTGTATTGTGCTCTTGCTTTTCTTTGGGTTTTTATATTTTTTAATTTATCATTCAATGTGAGAGCAGCCAGAATAATTGAAGTTCTGTTTTCTGCCAACCTGTTTTCCCAAAGGAGCTTAGATATTATTAGAGTTGGGTCTGCACACTTTGCAGAGTGCATTCTCTGACATTATTGGCCAATGTGGGAAGGAATAGTTAGCAAATTTGTTAGTTGTCCTCTGTTTACACTTTATTTCCAGAGGCTAAATGTTAGTTTGTTTAGGCCTGGCTTATTGTCTGCACTACCATGTGAAAGCGTTGACTGAGCTTGGCTCCTCAGTACAACCACAACTTGTGACTCATTTATTACGGGTCTAGAATCAATTCCCAACATGTTAGGAGAAACAAACAACTTCCTTGTTTTATGAAGTGCTAACAGAAGGAACTTGTTAATTTCTTAATTGTTCTCCCCTCCCTCAGACATTAGCTCGACACATGTAGCTGCAGCAATAAACTTGAACTTTGTAATAACAAGATTGTGTTGTCAGTCACCTCTTGGGAAGGGATTGCACTGGTGTCTGCTTTTCCCTATGACCTTAACCTGTGTTCATTCTCAAGTATACCATTAATGTATTTGTCTTAATGCCACTGTTGTCCTTGTCTGGAATATGTCATTTATATTAGAAGCATTTCGTGAATTTCTATAAAAGTTTCTCATCTATCATGCAGCTGTGTGACTGGGAAATATTTATCCAGGGACGCATACCCTCAGTTCACCCACAAATCACCCATGATTTTTAAGAACTCTTTAATTCACCCTCATTGTCTGCTTAAATTTCTGTTTTTAGCATGTGATTTCATTTCCTTCAAAGAAGATCTTACCCATTTAGCATAACTCAGAATTCTACTTTATTTTGTTAGAAAGTGAGATGTTTTCCTTGTGTTGAATAATAAATGCTAAATACTTTTATTTCTCACGTATTAAAAAACCTGGTTTTGAACATAAATTTATAGGTTTGCCTAATTCAGAGTGGAAGTATAAATTCAGCTCTGTGGAAGTTAGTTAGGAAACCAGAGGGGGTTTCCTCACACCTAATGCCTGGCTCCAGCCACCTGAACTTTTTCCAGCTGACAGCACAAATGTCACCAACTACTGCCATCACTACAGTGCTCTTTACTGAGCATTTTCTGTGTGCTGAGCACATGTAGTGATACAGCCTATGCTCACAGTCACCCTTTGAGATAGACCCTATCACCCCCATTTTACAGAAGAAGAAACTAAATCTTGGTGGTTCCATGGCTTGCCCAAGGCCACAGGGCTCATAACAGGCTTCGATCCAGTAGTCTGGCTCTGTGGTGCTCACATTTAGTCCCTGGTTGTGCTGCTTCCAGTTCCTTTGAACACTTCCGGTTCCCTTCTGTCCCAGCTCTCGCATACGTTCTCCCCCCCCCCAAAACATTCCCCACAGACCTCTGTCTTAGGTAGTTCCTGTTCTTTCTTCTCCTGTTAAGTGAAATGTCACTTCTTTGGGGAGGCCTTCCCTGTGAGCCCCATGCTACATGTCCTAGTTAAACCAAACCATGAAGCCCTCCCATGTTCCAGAAAGGTTCAGGTGGCATGGTCACAGAGAGCTGGCGAGGATCAGTGGGTATTCTTTCTTCTCTGCGCCAGCCACAGGTCCTTGCTCCTTTTCTGGAGCTCGCCTTATCTTTACCCCAACGTCGGCAGCAAGGCACATGCCCTTGCTCAGCTCTTCTTCCACATCCAGAGGCTTGCTTGCAAGCACCCCGTCCTGCTGGCAGATGTGCGGCAGCTTATGGAGCAGGAGTGGGATTTGCGGGCCGCACTGGGAAGCTTTGGATACAGTCTCAGGCAGGGCCATGTCTAGCTTGGACATGAAACTTCCCTCTGTGCTTCTCAGACACATGGTCCCCTCCAGGACCACCCTCTGTAATGGTCTCACCCTCCATGCCAGTGCTCCTCAAACTATCTGTGGTGAACAGTGAGTTGTCTTTCCCTCAAACTATCCTAGACCGGTATTTTTATGAAATATAGTCTAAAGTGAATTACTAGAAAAATAAATTTTAAAAAGACACAGAAAATTCAAGCCCAAATTTTATTATAAGATTCAACATAGCATAGCTGTCAAACTGCCAGTAGTTTTTCTCTGCTCAGTGTCTGTTCCTACATACTGACAGTGGTCTCCAGGCTTTACCTTTAATAGCACTTACTGGATAATTGACCCTGGAGAGGGTAATTTCTGAGTCTTACTGTCGTTATCTGTGAAGGAGAATCAATAATACTTACCCTGATGTTTCAGAACTAAATGAAATCATTCAAGTATCCATGATTGCCTAGTGTATGCTTAGGTGTGTACTAAGTGGTAGTTCATTTCTTGTCCCACTCAAATGCCTGGAAAAAATTATAGAAATTAGATGATTACCAACTAATTTATTCTCTTCTTCCTGGCCTTTGTGAAATGAAGGATCATCAGTAACAGTGACTCTTAGCAAGTTTGTGCATCAAAATCAACCGGAGATCTGGTTTCTTCAGTGGGACACGGTATTTAGAATAGTTAAGAGTGTTAAGAGTGCTCATGGCCACTGGGTTGTCTGTGCTTCTAGGCCTTTCCAGTAGACAAACATAATGTATAAATAATGGTTTAAAATAACAATAGTAGTATTATTACTAATGTTTAGATAGTTGAATGCAGTCAATGATTCCCATGTGGTTCTCCATGATCTTAGGTTATATATCTCACTAGGGATGTAAAGCTAAAAGATTGTTTTAATTCCATAAAATAATTTTATGTGCCACTAGGTTAATTCGTTTCTGTTTGTTTCAGTTTTCATAACTTTAAATTTAATTTTTAAGAAATATATAAAACACTTAGAATTCCAGATTCAGAATTATACAATAGGAACAAGTACATTCACAGAGTCCCCAGTCCTGCTTCCTTCGCCCATTCTCTTCCTCACCTTGTGAATGACCATTATCCGTTTTTGGTTTATCTCTTCATTGTTTCTTTTTCAGAATATATAAAAAAGTATATTTCTCTTTCTTTATCACACAAAAAATTCTCATATTAGCCTCTTCAGTGCTGTGCTTGCTCTATCCTGGTGGTCTCCCCACAACAGTCCGTGAGGCCCTGCATTTCCACAGCTGGGCAGCAGTCTGTTGTGTCTGCACCACAGTTATTCAGACAGTCCCTGTTGGTGCATATTGCACTTGCTTCCAAGATCTTTGTTGTCATAGATTGTGGTGCAGTCAACATCGTTAGTTACCAGTTCCACATTGAAACCACCATGACATACCATTTCACTTCCAAAAGGATAGCTAAATAAAAAAGACAGACGGTACAAAGTGTTGGTGAGACTATGGAGAAGCTGGAACACTCATGGAGTACTGATGAGGATGTAAAATGCTGCAGCCCCTTTGAAAACAGTCCGGCAAGTTCCTCAGATATTAAGTATAGAGTTACCATACGATCCAGCGATTCAACTCCTAGGAGTACAACCAAGAAAAATAAATACATATATCCACTCAAAAACATGTACATGCATATTCATAGCAGCATTATTATAATAGCCAAAAGGTGTAAACAACTCAAATGTGCATCAGTGGATGAATGGAAAAATAAAATGTGGTCTGTCTACACAATGGACTATTTATTATTTAGCCACAAAAAGGAATGAAGTACTAACACATGCTACAACGCGGATGATCCTAGAGAACATTATGCTAAGTAACAGAGCCAGATACAAAAGGTCACATATTGTATGATTCCATTTATGTGAAATGTCCAGAACGGGCAAATCCATAGAGACAGAAGTGGATTTGTAGTTGACAAAGACTGGGGGTAGTGGAGAATGAGGAGTGACTGCTAATGGAGTTTATTTTGAGGGTGATGAAAATGTTAAAAATTTAGGTAGTGATGGTGGTCACACAATTCTGTGAATGCACTAAAAACTACTGAATTGTATTCTTTAAAGGTGTGAATTTTGTGGTATGTGAATTGTATCTCAGTAAAACAGTTATTTAAAAATTAAGCTGTACTGCAGTGAATAACCTTGTGCCAAATGTAATCTCACGTGGTAGTTTTTGATCTTAGTCCTAGAAAAGGGCTTACTGGGTACACTGTGCTCTTGCTGCAGGCTGCCCAGGTCACTCCCACAGGGCTGGCCCGTTTATCATTGGATCGCAGTACGTGAAAGCACCTGTTTGCCTGTAGCCTCACTGATCGCATCCGTTGTCGTACTTGGTTATTTGTTAGTCTGGCAAGTGAGAAATGCTGTGTGTAATTAAAATTTGCCTTTCTGTTATAGGCACGGCAGAGCACATTCTCATGTCTTTACAGTTTGTCTGCATGTCTTTCTCTGTGCCATTTTCTGTTCATATATCTCGTCCATTTTTTATTGGATAATTGGTGGTGTTTTAGTTTTTACAGGTTCTTTTTGTATTAAAGATATATAAAATATATAGTAGGGACACAGTAAATATTTGTTGACCATCATCACTTCTTTGGGTCCTTCCTAAACCCCCAGATAAAATTGTGCTCTGTACCCCAACGCATCCAATTTCTGGGTTTTTTTTTTGTTTGTTTTTTTTTAAGAGACAGGGTCTCTCTCTGAGGTACAGTGGCACGATCATAGTGCTTGAAGTTTATCCTGGTGAGTTATGTTAGTTAGTGATCTACTTTTATCCTTTTTTATGTGGCTACCCAGTTGCCCCAGCATTTTTGATGAAGGGTGAAAAGAAAAGAAAATAACACTTTTTGTTTACATATTTCTGCATTGATAGAAGTATTTCAGGTAATTGTACAAACAATATTATAACAGTAACATTGAATAAGAAAATCAAAAAGGAGAAACAAGTCATCCGTATATCTCTGACCCTAACCAAGCGGTTTCCAGTGTGTAAATTGATCTTCTTTCTCTCTAGGTAAATGAGCTGGACGGCATTCCTTTGATCTTGGACAGCTGCAACATCGATGACAGTAACCCCTGTATCCTTGCATGTGGACCACCACACATTAGTTCACAACCAGGGACCTTAGTGTACCAAGTCCCTTTCCTGATGTTCGTTCAGTATGTAACTGGCTGCCTTGCTTGTTTGCTTGTTTCTAAAAGCCAAGCCCTTTTCTTGAAGTCATGGTGCTAGAATAGCACTTCGGCAGCCTTTGCAGTATAGTAAGCTAGAATTTTCAAGGTGAGTAGAACGTTTCAAACCAGAATGCTACTTACTAAATAGTACTTTAAAACTCTGAGACAGAATGGCTCATCCAAGGCACCTGTGCTGCATGTCACCAGTGTCACCTTCCCAAAGTGTGTATGTGGTCCTTGGAGTAAAAATGAAAAATTTTGCATTTTTTTGCTGTATCGATTCTGAGTATCTGGTCCTTTAGAAAAAGCGTTTTAATAACAGTTTGGCAACATAGAAACATGAGCACTTTGGCTCCCTAGCCATGGAGAGAAGTATTTCAGTGGGCATTGCATTCTCATTTTTCACAGGTTCTGTCCTGCAGCTCCTGCAGCCCTCTGCTGCTGAAGCTGGGAGCTCTGTCCTTACTTGGGTTGGCCATCCTTGCTGGAGGGTATTCTGCAAGGACCTTGCTTCTTTCCTACCATTTTACCAAGCAGTCATACTGTACCAATCTGGTCTAATACAGTGGTGAGTAACCAGGGACCAGATATAGCCTAGTTAGTTTGAGATAAAACTTATTATTTAATTTCAAGAACTTCCCTGGTGAGAGCCAGACTGGGCCCTATCTCTTGCCCTGGTCACTGCATGTCTCTGTGCCCATTGCCTTCAGGGGAGGGGTGGAACAGGCCACCATAAGGACTTGAGGAATGTATCCTGTAAGAGGCAGTGGGGAGCTCAGCCTGGGTCTGAGGAGACTGGGAAGGGGCATTTTAAAAATAAAATCCCTGTCTATGGCTTCTGCCAAGAAGAGAAAAGGAGCTGGTGAAAGTCATATGTTTCAAAGTGAGTAGACTGAGAAATGCTTACTGTGCTAAAGATACTATTGTCTGCCTGATTAGCAATAGAAAAAAAAAATCTTAAAGAGTATAGTAGTTTATAAGATGTCAGAAAAAGACCAAATAGACTCAGAAGACTCTCTTCCAGGTAAAACAAAGTCACATCACTCCATTGCACCATCAGTCACTGCAGGCTGTGCTTACTCAAGAGTTTAGACATTTTTTAGCCCCCCCAAAAAGGGAGGAGAAAAGAAAAGCAGAGAGCTGCCAGTCACAGGAAAGCAGTACAAGAATGTTCAGGTGCAATCGCAGATCTCATGTTTCCTTATTAAAAAATGATTTATTATGAAAAAAGACATTCACCCACAGTTTACTTTTATGTTCCCTGAATTGACCTTCTAGTGAAGAAGGTTTTCATCTCCAGTCTTTGGCTTTTAAGGGCAGACCAAAACACAGAACACTGTAGCACACAAGCCCATTGTAGGTCTAAGCTAGGGGCTGTTGATTCTCCCAGCATCTTCCATTCCGTATCCTCCTTGCCAGGTACTCACTTCTTCCACGAAACATTCATTCGGTCCTTATATGTGTATACTCATTACCTTATTCAATCCTGACAATACCATGAAGCAGATGCTATCATAATCCTCCCCATGTTGTAGATGAGGAAGTACACTGAGTCTCTCACTTGTCCAAAGGTCAGAACCAGAATTTAAACTTGTGAGTACCTGATTCTTAGCCATTTCCTGATACGCCCTCCTTACGAGTCACTGAGAGGAGACAGCACATACAAAGAAACCATATAAACATATTCATGTAGTGGAGAAATTATTCAGAATTATAAATTTAAAAATATATATGAATATCTGTATAAATAACTGGCTTTTATAAGGACAGTTAATGGGGTACTGCAGGATCCCTGGTCTCTGAATCCTTAAGAAAAGATAAAATATTACAAATATGTTTAGTGTTACATATATTTAGTAATTCTTTGGAGTTTTATTTATTAAACCTACCAGATTTTAAAGACATATAAAATATGTATAATAAGATGTGAGATACATACTAAAATATCAGACCAAAGGAAGGAATGATAGTTGAATGGTCAGAAATAAGGAAGCATGACAGCCTAGAGAGACTCAGTGTTTACACGTGAGCCATAAATTAAAATCTGGCTATCCTGGCACCAAAGCAAATAGAGACATATTACAGATTACAGAGTTTACCTTACTTCATAGATAAAACCACACCAACACTCCTTCCAGGCTGTTTTAGAAGCAGTTAGTCAAATTTTACACATTCACACTCACATGCACGCACACACATACATAAAGCTATACACACACACACACACAAAATTACCACCAACAAAAACAATTTAAAACCCACTACATACTGAGTTATTCATTGAAATTGCATTGACTAAAATGAATTTGATGAGGATTGACATACAATACTGAATCTTCCACCCATGAAAATGGTGGTATATGTCTCCATTTATTTAGGCTTATTAATTTTCACTTTTCTTCTTTTCTATGTACTTCTTTAGCTCTACACCATGGATTTTTAGATGTATTCTTTTGTTACCATTCATTTAAAAGTGTTTTCTAATTTCTAGTATGATTTCTTTTTTGACCCCTGGATTATTTTGAAATGATTTTTTAAATTTCTAAACAAAGAATTTTCTAATTATCTTTTGGATTGATTTCTATCATAAATGCATTATGAATAGAGAACCTGTGCTTAATATCCTCTGTCCTGTGAAATGTATTGAGACTTGCTCTGTGATGCAGTATATGGTCAGTATTTGCAAATGGTCTATGTGTGCATGAATAGTGCATCTGTTCTCCAGTAGTAGGGTGCACTAATTTATATATGTACATTAGATCAAGTTTTAAATGGTGGTATTTAAAACTTTTATATTTTTACTGATATTTTTGTCTTCTTTGATTTATCCATTACCAAGAGAGGTTGTAAAAAATGTCAGCCTATGATTATGGATTTGTCTAATTTTCTTTTTAGTTATTCAAATTTCCCCTTTATATGTATTGAGGCAGTATTTTTATGTAAAGGTGTATAACAGGTCCTGAGAAATAGCCCTGTTATCAATACGAAGTGATCCTTTTTATCTCTAAAACTTTTTTTGTCTAATATTAATGTAGCTATCCTACTTTGCTTTGGGTTGGAATTTACATGGTATAACCTTTTCATTCCTTCTATTTTCATCCTTTCTATATGAGATATGTTTCTTGTAAACAGCATATACAGTCATGTACCACATAATGACATTTTAGTCAATGACAGACCACATATACAACTGTGGTCCCTTAAGATTATAATATTGTATTTTTAGTGTACCTTTTATATGTTTAGATATATTTAGATACACAAATATGACATTTGTGTTACAGTTGTCTACAGTATTCAGTTCAGTAATATGCTGTTCAGTTTTATAGTCTAGGAGCAATAGACTATGCCATATAGCCTAGGTGTATAGTTAGCTGTATACCATCTAGGTTTATGTAAGTATACTCTATGATGTTTGCACAATGATGAAATTGCCCAGTGATGCATTTCTCAGAACATATCCGTATCCTTAAGCAATGCATGATTATAGTTATTTTTTCTTAAATCTAGTTCAACAATCTTTGCCTTTTAGCTATTGCATTTAGCCCATTTACATTTAGTGTAATTACTGGTATAATTATGCTTAAGCTTCTTTATTTGTTCTTCCTATCTTCATTTCTTTTTCTTTCTTTCTTTCTTTCTTTTGGATTATTTTTAATAGTCCAATTTTTGCCCTTTTCTAATTTAAAAATTCTTCATTCTTGGGCCGGGCGCAGTGGCTCATGCCTGTAATCCTAGCACTTTGGGAGGCCAAGGCGGGTGGATTGCTCGAGGTCAGGAGTTCAAAACCAGCCTGAGCAAGAGCGAGACCCCGTCTCTACTATAAATAGAAAGAAATTAATTGGCCAACTAATATATATGGAAAAAATAAATTAGCCGGGCATGGTGGCTCATGCCTGTAGTCCCAGCTACTTGGGAGGCTGAGGCAGAAGGATTGCTTGAGCCCAAGAGTTTGAGGTTGCTGTGAGCTAGGCTGACACCACGGCACTCTAGCCTGGGCAACAAAGCGAGACTCTGTCTCAAAAAAAAAATTCTTCATTCTTTTTCTATTCTCTTAATGCTTCCCTGAGAAATTGCAACATGCATCCTTAACTAGGCAAAGTCTCATATGTTGCAAATTTTTACCCTTCTTTCCAGATAGTACAGAACCATTTAACATCTCCAAACTTATATGCTCTTGTTGTATATTGTAATTCTATCTTTCAAGCCCTATAAAACATTGTTCTATGTAGTCAGTGTTCATTTAGCTCTGTGCACATATTTATTACTTTCACTGCCCTTCAGTGTTTATATCTCTGTCTATCTGGGATCATTTTTCTTCTGCCTGAAGTCCTTCTTTTAGAATTTCCTTCAATGTGGGTCCATCTGAGTTTGTTTGAAAATGTTTTTCTTTAGGTTCCATTTTTCTAAGCTCCTCCTAAAGAGCATATGCCTGATTGCCAACATTTTGTTGGGATAGCTACAAGATCTCAACATTTTAATATGTATACTTTCACTTAATCCCACTTTTTCTACCCTCAACTGTACCTGGTGTATCATGCTTGCCAGAGAGTCTCTGTTTTAAACTCTTCATAAAATTAATGAATTTTCCAATCTTCTGTTGAGAAAAAGGAAAGGCACTGGGGTCCAGCTGCTTCTTAAATTCACAAACAACTCTTCTAATTTTCACCTTCATCTCCCATTAAAGAGGAACAAGTGATCACCAGGACCTGAGCTTTGGGAGGGCTCTATAAATAGTGCTTCTCTGTCTTTCTCAGTGCTGGTGTAAGCTCAGCTTTCTTGGGCTTCTTGGTTAGTTGCTAGGGCCCTTTCACAACCATAAGCCACAGCCCTGTCTGTTACTTATTGTCTATCTGCCTTTTAGCTTCTGAAATTCTTTTTGCTCTTTTGGATTTGTGCCTTT